GGGCGCCCCCGGGGCCAACCCGCCCCCCCCCCCCCCCCCCCCCCAGCTGAATCCTGTTACAGTCCCATAGAACAGTGATTGGGCTGTGGCCTGGAGCAGTTTGAGCACACTGGGCTCCCACACACAAGGAGTCACCTGCTTATAACCTGGTTTCATTAGTGGAGAATTAGGAACTCTTAAGACATGAACTAACACCACAGCACTGGTACCACCACCCAGGTGCTGGCCATACAGCTCTGCTGATGCCCCTCAGCTCTGTCCTGTAGCCACCCTGTTGCTCTGGTTCTGCCCTTCCAGCTCTGACAAAATTCCTCAATTCCCAAGCCACAGCCCTCTTATTCCAGCCCTGGGCTCCCCTCACAAGCTCTGCCAGTGCTTCTCAATCCCAGCCTGTTACCTTCCTCTCTACCCCACTCTTCCAGTCCTGAGTCATCCTGGAGGCAAAGTCCTTAAATGCCCTGAACGTTAAAGTAGATAAGCATCATGGGTACAGGGTGAAAAGAGAGAGCGAGCTCACAGCAAATGCTCATGTTCATGGGAATGTGGAGCTGGTCCATCTCACCCTTTGGGAAACAGGAGAAAGTGAACTTTACCAAATATAGCTGTTTCTTCAGAAAGAGAGAAATGCATAAAGCCAGGCTTGCAAGGAGGTGCCACTCCTGAGAGAGGTGATGAAGACATTACGGGGCCAAACTTTGTCTGGACTAGGATCCACAGAATCTCCACCAGTATGACTTTTAATCCTACACTAAGCAAAAAGCTGCAGGTCATGTCTCAGAGCCCTGCCTCTGCACACCTACTGTTGCTGACTATGTGAAGGCTGCAGCAATGAAAGTAGGGGCACCTGGGCAATGGACCTGGCTGGCTGCACACAGCTGCAAAGACCTCGGTGGCAACTTACTGAGTACGTTTCCCCTGGGATGTAATGTTTAAGGTTAATAGATCCTGACCAGGTATTTATTCCTGGTTAAATTAGTCAGGTGGTTTCACAGGAGCTTCCCCTCTGCACAGCTGTTTCGTTCCTCAGTAGTTTTGAAGATGATACAGAGGAAAGCAAGTGCCACCTCATGGGGTTCTCTCAAGTTTTTACCAGAAGCCTTGTTACCAAACTGTCCATGATAGAGCCTCAAGAATCCTTCTTGGATTCTTCTTGCTGTGGTGCCTTTGCTCATTAGCCTTAAACACTAATAAGATCATCAGCTACTCTAATAAGGTCACCCTTTTGGCAAGCATGCTGCAAATTATTCCTACACCTTCTTTGAGTGCCACTCTGATCCCTTTCCCCCTGCTTGATTTTCAGGCTGTGGTTTTGAACCTGGGGCCTTGGCCTACCCAGCACAGCAGCTCACCCATCTGTCACCTCACCTGCAGAGTAATAGGGCTGATGTAGGTATCCAGAACCCTCCATCTGGGCCTAGGTGCATGCCCACGCCCTGCTACTAGAGTAGCCAGACAAAGTCAGCTGACTTCTTACCCCTTCCCATATAAGCCCCTGACCCAGAAGGGGTAGTATCCGGGTAACAGGGCATAACCTTGTATCTAAGCTGCTGCACCCTTGGATTGTGCAGCTACGGACACTGATGGATTCTTTGGATACCTGACTCAGCTAACCCCTGACCTTGTGTTCTGCCTGACCCTCTGGATACCCAACCCAGCTCTGGCCTGACCTGGATACCTGACCTGGCTAGCTCCTGACTTCGTATTCTGCCTGATCCTCTGGACCTCTGACTTAGTTTCCCAGACAGGTATCCTGGCTTTTCCTGACCCTGAGAAGACCCCCAGACCTGGACACCTATGGCATGGCATAAGTTGCTTGGATCAGCACATGTGGCAAAGAGGGCTCAGATGGAGGTGGAGTCCAGTG